GTGAAATTAATTTTAAACTTTACAAAGTTTGTGGTTTAATTTTTTAATGTATATATATCTATACAAAACATTCAACAAAAGAATTTTATATGACAAACTATAAAAAATAAAAATTTTACACCGATATTAAAAATTTATCCTATCAGTAGATTTGAAATTAAAATCTATCCATAATTAATATTTCAAATATTTATATAGATATCAGAATTCGATTATTGAAAAATCGAATTTTCAACTGTGTTACTTTTATAATTTATTTTTTGAAATTTTTTTCATTTTCTTTTAAATAAAAATAATAATAAAAATTTTCTTTTTTAACTTTCCAAAATAATAAAATTATATATTTAAAATATACTTATAATGAAAAAATTATTTTAAATAAATTTTTATAAAATCAATATTTATACATTTATATTTAATTAAAAAGATATTAAATATCATGTAAATTTTGAAAATTATTGAACTTGTAAAGTAAATAAAAGAAATAACTAAAAAAACATTAAAAATGAAATAATTTAGTTTAGGGGCTAGCCCAATCCTAACCCTACCCCAGCCCACTTTATGTGGGGCTTTAGGGGTTGGGGCTTTTAAAAAGCCCCCTATGGGGGCTAGAAAATTGGAGCTTGATTTTAGAAGGGATTAGGGTCAACCCATGGGTCAGGGACTGACACCTCTAAACGAGAGAAGCATATGTCACAAGTTATGTTTATGGCGAGGGAATACATTTTCATAAATTTATTTCAATAATTAAAATCATGTTTTAAGTTATAATTTTGTTAGAGAAAATGATTTCTTCTTCATTATCATAAATAATTACAACAAAACTACAAATTCACGATTTAAAAAACTGTATACAAATTGGAAATAACGAATTCTCATTTCCATATCTTCTAAGATAAATTTTGAAACGTAATTATTTTTATATATAAATTTATAAATTAAATATATCATTAATTTAAAATTTTAAAATATCTCATCTGCTTTTCTTTGGCTTGCAAAACTATCTTGATTCTGCAACAAGTGTTATCATCAACAATGCTAAAAGCACCTCTCTGTTATGTGACCCTAAAATCCCCACAGTTTGCAGCCATGGCGGGAGCTACAGGAAGAACCCTCTTCACCTTCTCCCTTTCTTCCTCTTCTTCTTATTCTTCCTTCACGCGCTTCCTCGCCAAGCGCGTCCCACTACGCAAAGCCCTCCCTCTTCTCCCCCGCTTCCGCCCACTCTGCTCCGTCGCTGCTGCGCCGGAAAGCGCCGACGCGAAGCATTCTTTACTCCTCGAGAGGCTCCGGGCGCGACACCTCAGGGATGCCGCGAGAATCGCCCCCGAACCGAGGAAGAAGGCCAGGGGCGCCGCCGTTGCGGAGGCTGAGAAAGAGAAGGCGAAGAAGGAGAAGAAGGTGGTTGCCAGTTTCGAGGAGTTGGGAGTGAGTGAAGAAGTTATGGCGGCGGTTAGTGAAATGGGGATTGATGTACCCACTGAGATACAGGGAATTGGCATCCCCGCCGTTTTGGAAGAGAAGAGTGTCGTTTTGGGGTCGCATACTGGCTCTGGCAAAACCCTCGCCTACTTGCTTCCTCTTGTTCAGGTGTTGTTCTGCATTCGTTTTGAAAATGGAAATTTGTGAGCTAAGTTCATTTCCAACACAAAGAATGTTATTTATATTATACTCTCATATAATTTATAATACCTTGGCATTTTTGTTCCAATGCAATCCTACACTTCAATAATTTTATTTGTTTATAATTTAACTTTTCAAAAGTTGAAACCATTTTTTTTTTTAATTCTTGTGAACTAAGGACTAATTTATATCTAGGTCTTCGAATTCATTTCATGTCACATTAGCATGTTCGAATAAGGTGTCATATAAGACACAAATTTTAAGCTTATGACATTGACTATGAACTGTGCATTGGAGATGATCTAAAAATTTTAAGATAGTAACATGTCTACGTTGTGTACACTTAAGAGTGTTAGACACTACCTATGCTCCTACATAACTTTTAGGCTAAATGAGTTCCTGAATGTATGAAATTTCAGTACGAGAAAGAAAGAAAGTTCCCAGTTTGTCCCCAATGTGAAAGAAGTTAGACAATTACATCCTTTTGTATAACTTAAAAACAAATTGGTTTTAAATTTTACTATTTACTGTCAATTTGGTTGTCAAAAATATAACTCGGTATCAAATTGGTTCTTAAATATTCCAGCTTAAGAATGAAGTGGTCCAGCCAAATTTAATCACACATTCAGTTACTAAATAATACTTTTTTGGTCTTTTACGGACTAAATTGTCATCTATTTACACATTTAAGAATTAAAATAGACATAGATGTACACATTCAAGGACCAAAATTGTCATTCATCCTAAGATTTATATGGATGTTTTTTTAATTTTTAATTTTTAAACTTTGAAGAGTTTTCAAGGTATAATATTTTATCTACTGTAATATTACGATGAGGAATATTGATCCTTTGAGCATGTTTGGCTGCCTTTTAATAATTTCAGAAGAGTAATTAAAATATATTGAATTGAAAAATAAAAGTAGGATTGTAAAAAATGTAGTGAAGATGAGTAGCTATGTTAGAAAGTAACTTCCATTTTCACGAGAATGAAAAATACAGTTCTTTCACCATGGGAATAAGAAGTGAGACAAACATTTTATTTTCATGGGAATAAACAAGAATAAACCTCTGCGGGGTTGTTTTTGGCAAAACTTGTATGAAACATGAGTATGTGCTATTCCTTAGTTTACTTAAAAATTTAGTCACTCTTTTGATACCTTGAAATGAGAATAAGATCCCTAGTTCACTATTTGTTTTTTCTATTCCTAACTTTACTTTCCTTTACCAAACATGAGAATATGTTGGTCAATATAGTTCACTTTCCCGAACATAACTTTTATTATAATCTTAGAGTGAAAAATGTTTGCACTGACTTGTCTTGGACTGTTATTTAGATTTAGCTGAGGCAAACTTGTGTAGGCATTTATTTTGGCAGCTGAGGCACTGTTAATTTGTTGATATACCTGTAGTTGCTACGACGGGATGAACAATTGAATGGAATACTGTTGAAGCCCAGGCGTCCGCGAGCTGTTGTATTGTGTCCTACAAGGGAGTTATCTGAGCAGGTTAGCTGCATTTAAGTTGTATAAATCACTCCTTATTAAGTTGGATTACATTAATATGAAGTGGGCTTTATAGGTTTTTCGAGTAGCAAAATCGATAAGCCATCATGCCCGATTTAGGTGTACCATGGTAAGTGGTGGTGGCCGGATTAGGCCTCAGGAGGATTCCCTTAACAACCCCATTGATATGGTAGTTGGTACCCCTGGAAGGGTTCTTCAGCATATTGAGGAGGGAAACATGGTGTATGGTGACATCAAATACTTGGTGAGTATCTCACAATTGACAGTTTTTAATAACAACATTGAGTTTAAGCTTCACTTGCTGATGATGGTCTTTGCTTTGCAGGTATTGGATGAGGCAGACACAATGTTTGATCGGGGTTTTGGTCCTGATATACGCAAGTTTCTGGGCCCATTAAAAAATCGCGCTTCAAAACCTGATGGCCTTGGTTTTCAGACTATCTTGGTAACTGCAACCATGACAAAGGTGTGTGTGCACCATATTCTTGTTGGCTACACGCAAATTAAATACTAATGGTTTAGAAGGTTATTCATAAAATGGGTGCCCTTCTATATAAATGTTAGTCCCGTGGTTGTTTTTCACTTTCTTGAATTCTGGACAATCCCTATTATATTAAGTGTAATGCATTTTTCATGATCAATTTTGACAATGAACTTCAGTATTGATTTCTTTGAGTCTTGCAGGCTGTTCAAAAGCTGATTGATGAAGAGTTTCAAGGCATTGTTCATCTGCGCACATCAACATTGCATAAGAAGATTTCTTCAGCTCGTCATGATTTTATTAGACTTTCAGGTTCTGAGAACAAGCTTGAAGCATTACTGCAGGTATAGTTATAAATTTTGGCGTGTTTGACATGTGTCAACCAATGGTTGATAATTTTAGTTTGTGTTGGGATGTGCAATCAAGGGGCACCAAGTCTGTTTGGGATTATTTGGTCCTGGGATTAAGTCTCACGCAGGCTGTTTTTCTTTCACTTTAGCTAATGAGATATTAGTCTAGGCTGTTATTATTTAGAGTTAGGACTTGATGGTACCAACTGACTCTAAAAAAGTATAATAGAGGGAATATGTGTACACTAGTTACTAATGATTGTATTTGTTCTTACCTCAAGTCCATTAAGATTGTATCATTAGGATCGATCACCTTATTCAATGTATTGTCCATTTTGGAGTCTAGAACTTTTGTCATGATTTTGTCCTTAAAGGACATCTCATATTTAGATTACCCTTGGCTTTGACTCGTAAGTGTCTAGAAGCACGCCGTGAATTTAGGCTTTATTTAAGGAAATTTATATTTATCTTTTATTTTGTTTGTTTGGTTAGATTTGATTCTGAATTTGATATTAGGAGATTGTAACAAGAATAAAATCTCATAATTATAGGGATTATTCTCTCTAAGATTGTTTACTGTTTTATTTTTTAATTTCTGTTTTTATCTCAGAACACACCTATAAATATAGGTCAGCTGGCCTAATAATTGTGAGTGAGAAATAAAGAAATTCTTCCCTTCCAAATTTAAGATGGTACCAAAGCTCCTGGTCCTAGGAGCCTGATAGGTTCTTGGGTCGAGAAGGACCAAGAACTATCAATACGCAATAGTAAAACACACAGCCAACACCAGAAAGAAGAAAAGAATTGTATATTTCTTCTGTATCGAATTCCCAACTGTACAAGCCTCCAAAAGGGGGATGAATCCCACCTCCACAGGATATGAATTGTCCTGTCTATACAACAATGAAACAATTGCTACCCCTCTAATGAATTATACAACCCTTATATAGGTTGCTCTTTTCCCCCAACAGACTAACTAACTACCCCCCTGCAATACAACAAAAGCATCCCCCTTAGTCATAGTAGTTAACTAACGCATTAACAGTCTATGTTCTCTTCCTTCTCTCATAGACTCTTAGTATCCTACCAGGGCCTCTGACCGTAACGTAAATTTCTTAAAGCCTTCATAGCTATGCAACCCTAAAAAGAACTGTTAGCCTTCATCGCTGCCAGCCGTTATCCGTATTTGCATTGTTGCTATGATCATCATCATCTTCATGCAGCCTTCATCGCTGCACTTAGATTTTCCATTCCCTTTATCTTAGCCATTATCCAAAGTAAGGAAAGTACAACAATGAAGGTAGAAGAAGGAGCAATAATGGTGGTTAACCAGAAGAAGAACGATTTTACGACAGGAGAAAAGAAACAAGAAGTGTGGTGTCCTTACTGCAAGAAACCATGTCACATTAAGGAGAAGTTTGGAAACTACATGGGAAACCACCCAGCCAAGGATGGGGCCAGAAATTTCACAACCAAAAGAAGGGAGGCCAAGGACAACTAAACTCGTAATTGGATAGAATGGAGAGATTGGGTAACTGAATCATGAAGAGATAGAAAGAGTAAGATCCTTTTGGAGTAAGATGGACAAGCCTATAGGTATGTGTGCTTTGATACATTCTGGTAAGATTCCATATTCTCTTGGTTGAGCTGAATGGTGAAAGACCGAACGGTTAAGGGTGTGTGGGGTGCAGGACTGAACGATCAAGGGTGTAGAGGTTTCTGTTTTAATAAGGGAGTGGATCAGAGCTGCTATAAATAAAGCTCTTGTAACTCTATAGAGGGCATTGAGTATTCTTTTGTAAAGTCTGGACTTTTACCAGAAGAGGGAGGTTATGCTCCCAACCATTCTTTGTAAAGAGATTTCTATCGCTGTCAATAATAGAACCCATTCTTTCTTTACTGTTTCTACCTACTGTTA